AAGATTCAGCATGTCTGACCTGGCGGCTTGCTTCATCATGTGCATCTGCTCGGGAGAGCGGAGCATGGCGTCTCTGTCTGAGGCGTCTTACCTCACTTCCTCTTCCTCCCAGCATTCTGTTCTGTTTACTCCACCCACCTATGTTCTAAGCTATGAGCCCAAGCAGTTTGTTTATTACTTAACCAATGAAATCAACAGATTGATATATGACACTCCCACATCACTTCCCCTTTTTCTGTTTAAACAAAAAAAGGCTTTAACTTTAACATAGCAAAATTACATATAACAAAACAGTTATTAAGCAAGAATTACAGTTACAATATTTATATCTACCTTATCTTTTATCATAACAATGGAAAACTATAACTATAACTAACCATTCTTCAAGTTTATCAAAGACTCCAGAAGAATATAATATTACCTAAGTAAACAAGAAATCCAAAACTCTAGAAATAACAGAGACATCTCGCTGCCTGAACAGTCACCCAAAGTTCCTCTGCACTGTTGGGGCATCCATCTTCAGCCTACAGGCCCATAGTTTCCAGCAGACATTTCCATGAAGCAGGAAATTCCAAAGACAGTTCAGTCACTATCTGCTGTGTCCTGCATAATGTCTCGCAGACTCTTTCATGAGTCATGAACCCCGAAAGACCATCTCACCTTTAGGCAAGTTCAGCAGTCCTCTCTCTGTGGGTTCTCTGTGTCCATATGAACCCCGAAAGACCATCTCACCTTTAGGCAAGTTCAGCAGTCCTCTCTCTGTGGGTTCTCTGTGTCCATTTTATGCAACAGTCTAGGCAAGAGCAGTTTCTTGCCCAAATTGCTATCAAACTCCATAAGGATCCTCTTCGATGCCCATCTTCCTCTCGAAGTAGATTGGTGCCGCCAGGAGCAGACATGTCTCATTGTCATGAAAAGTCCTAAGTTATTAAAATATTTTAAATGCCATATTCTGCAGCCTTTGAGAGATATGAAGAATGCCTATCTGAAATATATCTCTATATATCTAGAAAATCTAACTAACATGACTACAAGCTTTACTATTATGATTATCTATTAACAATCTATATTTCTAATTATACATTACATTTTTAAATGAACTACACAATCACAGTACCTTAAAAGATCAGAAACACATATACATATAACAAAATTGACCTTAAATTTAAATCACTAAAACAGAATCCATATCAATGTAAATTATTCATATCTCTATCATATCCCCCTTTAAATGTAAAAGAACGTTTATAAACCATATTTGGGAACAGGGGCGCAGTTTTTTCTCTCCAAACTGCTTCTTGCTGAATGGGGGCGTCGTTAATTAGGTCTTTCATGGTATAACCTGTGTGCTAGTTTCATCTCAGTTGGCAGTTGAGCGAAGCAATTTTCTGAAGGTGTTCACACCAACCCTTCAGGAGGGCGTGGTCCATCATACCAAATAGAAGAATAGAAGAATAGAAGAAATGAACAGGGTCTCATCCTCTGTGAAAACAAATTAAAAAACTCCTTTCCAAAGCATCATGTCCTTAGATCCAAATTTCAAAGTCAAGGCATTTTCAAAATATCTATGTTGGATTAGTTCAGCAGCATTTATAAACAAATATCTTTTAGCAGCTGTTGCTCCTTCCTCAGCATTCAAACAATTCAAAGAGAGCATAATAGTGTACAGTATCAAAATTCTCTGTGTATTTTCCATCTTTGTGCGCTTTATTTTAACCTCTATTTTGTTTATTTTTACTTTTATTTTTTGCTTTTTGAGACAGGTTCTCTGTATCTTTGACCTGGAATAACTCTGTAGACCAGGCTGTCCTTGAACTCTCAGAGATCCGCCTGTCTCTGCCTCCCAGGCATTGGGATTAAAGGTGTACACTACTACACCTTGAACTCACAGAGATCTGTTTGTCTCTGCCTTCTAGGCACTGGGATTAAAGGCGTGTGCTACCACACCTTGAAGTCACAGAGGTCAATCTCCCTCTGCCTCCCAAGTGTTGGGATTAAAGGTGTGTACTACCACACACAACAACTCTCTTCCTTTTTTTGTTTTTTACTTTAAGAACTTCAACTTTTAGTCTGCATATATTTTTAACACGCTGTAAATCATTTAAAATTTTTCTTTGTCTTTGACGCTCTCTTTACTGTATCTCTGTTTTTCTGACCACATGAGTCTTTAATGTACCAAGCAATATCAGTAGGACTAAAGCTGTGGCTTTGCCGGCTAGATGTAGCCCATTCCTTAGCTTTCCAGCCTCATGGCTGAGGTACTGGCTGTAGCCATGTTTACTGCCACAACTCTATGGCATTTCAAGGTCCCTGCCCCAAGCGAGCTTCAGCAGCCTGTGCTTGCAAACCACATGAACTGCCTGTGTAAAAGAGTCAGAGTTTGCCCTGGCAGCATGAGAAGCCTGAGGACCTGAGTTCAAATCCCCAGAACCCGTGCAACATCTCACATTGTTGAAAATCTACATTCACAATGCTGCTAAGGAGAGCTGGGAGGTGGAGACCCGAATCCCTGGGAGCTCTAGGCCAGCTGAACAACACAGAACAGACCTGCCAGCATGTCCATGTGCACACACGCATACGCCATACACACATGCACACCACCATGTCTCCATGCACACACGCATACGCCATACACACATGCACACCCCCATGTCCACGTGCACACATGCATACGCCATACACACATGCACACCCCATGTCCATGTGGAAACACACGTCATACATGCATGCACACCCACATGTCCATGTGCACACATGCATACGTCATACACACATGCACAAGACCATGTCCCCATGCACACACACATACGCCATACATGCTTGCACACCCACATTCCATGTGCACACACGCATACGCCATACACACATGCACACCACCATGTCCATGTGCACGCACACACGTCATACATGCATACACACCTCCATGTCCATGTGCACACACATATGTCATACATGCATGCACACCCACATTCCATGTGCACACACACATACATCATACACACATACACATGTACACACATGCCATTTTCTCCCTCTCTTTGACACACTTACAAAATTATAATCTGAAGGGCACTGACATTTAGGAATGTTAATAGACCTCATGTGAACACTGCTTCTGTGCATAAAACAGTGTAAAAATTCTTAAATAAAATTGCTAGATTTTTACTCTCTCTCATTTTAGAGTAATAGAGAGCTGTTGTGTTCAACTTGAGAGCTCCACAAACTAAAATTGCCTTTTATTGCTGTCTGTGTGCCGTGGAACACACTATGGCAGATACAAGCCAGGATGTGTTTTGTTGGCTTTAGGATCCCAGCTTCAGTTTATGAACTATGATTTTGGTTTTAAAAATTCATTTGTTCTTTTTTAGTAAGAATATGAATTAAAACTCATTTACTATTTGTGTTATGGGCACAATTATATAGGTATGAAAATAGGTAATTTATTATAATTTTAACTTTTGTAGTTAACTTTATATATATTTACTGTTCTTTATAAGTTTCTAAGGTGATTAAAATTACACTTTTTAAAGTTTATTACACTTAAACTAAACATCTACTCCTGCGTTTAGATACAGCCTGTTTAAGAAGCTGAAGGTAATAACTGTCCTAAGACTGTCCCCAGGTCCTGGACACTGAATAAAGTCTGTGTTTATTTTAATGTGGTGCTAAGATGGTGTATTTCTTTTTTTTAACTTTTTAAAAAACATTCTTGTCTCATTTTGCATAACAATCTCAGTTCCCTCTCCCTCCCCTCCTTCCATTCCCTTCACCTTCCCCCACTCCCATTCACTCCTCAGAGCAGGAAAGGCTTCTTATGGGGGAGTCAACAAAATCTGACACATCACTTTTAGCAGGACAAAGCCACCCCTATAACCAGCCAGTTCCAACAGCAGGAATAAATCCTGGTCTCACTGCCAGTGATCCCACAACTGTCTAAGCCTCACAACTGTTACCCACATTCATAGGGCCTAGTTTGATCCCATGCAGGTTCCCCAGCTGTCAGTCTGGAGTCAGTGTTTCTGTGGAACCCCATCATGGTCTTGACCCCTTTGCTCGTATTATCACTCTTCCCTCTCTGCGTCTGGACTTCGGGAGCTCATCACAGTGCTCCACTTTGGTTCTTTGCCTCTGTTTCCGTCAGTTGCTTGCTGGATGTAAGTTCTATGATGACATTTAAGTTACTCATCAATTTGACTACAGGGCAAGGCCAGTTTGGGCCCTCTCTCCTCTATTGCTTAGGGTCTTAGCTGGGGTCATCCTTGTGGATCCCTGGGAATTTCCCTAGTGCCAGGTTTCATGCTAGCCCCATAATGGCTCCCTCTATCAAGATATCTCTTTCCTTGCTCTCCCTCTCTGTCCTTTCCCCATTGTGACTATTCAGTTCCCTCATCTTCTCTTCCCCCTCCCCTTCTTCCATTCTTCCCTTCTACCCTCCCATCTCCTCTCACCCCCCAAGCTCTCAAGTTTCTCAGAAGATCTTGTCTGTTTCCTCTTCCCAGGGGATCTATGTATGTCTCTCTTAGCGTTCTTCGTGTTCCCCAGCTTCTCTGGGATCATGATTGTATGCATGAAACCTGTATTTAATCATTCCCTTTTTTCCTCCCTCCAACTCCTTCTGTGTCCTGCTGCCTCTTTAATATGCTATGATTTTTCTTTAACCCTTTTTCTTTCCATACTCCTATGTAATTGAATTATTATTTTAAAAACATTTTTAAATCTATGTTTTTGTGAAATTGAAATATTCATTCAAACATCATAAAAAGGTATTTTTCTTGAAACATATCATTAAATTAAATATTATATTATAATGATTCTATTTTGGACATTCTCTCAGTGGATGTTATGTGTCCCGTCTACTTCTCTATGCATTCTGGGAATGACAGAGTTTCCAAGAGTGCATCACAGTGGCCTTCCCAGGCTCTACTCTGCGAATGTGGTGTATTTAGTAAAGCCAAGTCAGACGTGAATGATGCTTACAATATCATCTTTCTTTATTTTAGCTTGTGATGAATGGAAGACGTTACCTAAACCAAATCTTCATAGAGACGTCAACAGATTTGGACACTCTGCCGTCGTCATCAACGGGTAAATTGTCATCTCAGAGGGTTGAAGCGTCCGTGGTAAATTGTCATCTCAGAGGGTTGAAGCGTCCGTGGTAAACTGTCATCTCAGAGGGTTGAAGCTTCTGTGGTAAACTGTCATCTCAGAGGGTTTGAAGCTTCTGTGGTAAACTGTCATCTCAGAGGGTTGAAGCTTCTGTGGTAAACTATCATCTCAGAGGGTTGAAGCTTCTGTGGTAAACTGTCATCTCAGAGGGTTGAAGCTTCTGTGGTAAACTGTCATCTCAGAGGGTTGAAGCGTCCGTGGTAAACTGTCATCTCAGAGGGTTGAAGTGTCCGTGGTAAACTGTCATCTCAGAGGGTTGAAGCTTCTGTGGTAAACTGTCATCTCAGAGGGTTGAAGCTTCTGTGGTAAACTGTCATCTCAGAGGGTTGAAGCGTCCGTGGTAAACTGTCATCTCAGAGGGCTGAAACAGTTTCCTTGCATCCTCAGACGTTCTGATGTTCTCCCGACACTTTATGTGCATTGCTAACAACAGACAATTTCACAGCCTTTCTTTTCCTGAGTACACTTCAGTTTGCCAACCGCATCCCCGAATGCTCAGTTTTCTCTTCGCCTTAAGTCTCTGGGCATGTGGACGTGGTTAAGGGAGGTGCTGCAAGACAAGACTCTTAGTGAGGGCACTGGGTCCTCTTGGTTTTTCTTAATGATTCTTTGAAAAGACCTAAGGAAGAGGTGAGGGCTAGCCTCCTGTTCTATGCACAGAGACCTAAGGAAGAGATAAGGCTAGCCTCCTGTTCCACACACAGACACCTAAGGAAGAGGTGAGGGCTAGCCTCCTGTTCCACACACAGACACCTAAGGAAGAGGTGAGGGCTAGCCTCCTGTTTCACACACAGACACCTAAGGAAGAGGTGAGGGCCATCTCCATACACAGAGAAAGTGAGAATCAAGTTCTCAATGTAACTCTGCCACTAACCACATTGTATGAATTTTGATGTTTGTAATATTGACCCTTCTGAACTTTAATATCTGTTCATCTTTTGGAAATTGGAGTATGGAATTAAATTATGGTCTCCTCTTAAATTTATATAAATATGTTGTTTCATTTGTTTTTGAGATGGGGTCTCGTTGTGTACTCTAGCCATACTGGAACTGTGTAGTTCATGCTAGCATTGAACTAATGACAATCCTCCTGTCTCAGCCACCAGAGTGCTGGGATTATAAGCATGAGGCACTACACCCAGAAAATTTGTATGATTTTTGTTTCATTAACAAGAATTTGTTAATTTGGATCTGCATGATAGTAAAGAATCTACAGCTCCTTCAGTAGATTGAAATGCTTAACTCAGAGTAATATTTTTTATAATTTTATTATTACCTTACCCAGTGACATACGGTTTCCTGCCATTGCCATACAATGATTATTATCCGCAGTGAAACTTTATAACTGACATGGATTGACTGTAAAAATAATAATAAGTGAAATTTGTGTGAACCTTAAAATGTCTAGGCTTTATTATGGAAAATAGGGTTTGATTTTGATTTTCTTTGTTTAATATTAAAAAGAATTCTTGAAGCATTTGGACCATTTTCTTTCTCATGGCCATAGTAGTTCATAGATGACAGTTAGGTTGTTTTGGGCCTGCGAGTGTCGTCATTGTCACTGTAAGCTCTGGAGTGTGGTGGCGCTCACTCCATTCAGGGACGGGAGTGTGGAAGTCTCCTCTCTGCTCTATCTGACTACGTTCTGTTCTGTCTCTGGCCTGAGCTGCAGTTCCGGGCATCGGGATGCATGCCCCGCCCTGACACAAGTTCCAGAATGGCTAAGGATACACCGTCAAACACAACACACCAGAACAAAACCAACATCATCACCAAACAAAATCCCCAAGTCAATATAGGAAGAAAATGGTAAACCGAGGTAGCAACTCCAAAGTGTACCTTAACATTTATAAGCAACCTTAATACGATTATATATTATTATATCATAAAAGATTGTTTCCTACTTTAGTAAGCTGGTAATTTTTTTCTGATAAAAGGAATGTTACATTCTTGATCCTTTTCTTACATTAATAATAAACATGTCTGGAAGTTGAATGTTTCTATAAAGTATTAAGCTCTGTACTGTATTGAAGAATCATTAAGAAAATGTTATAGAAGTTAATCTGCTTTTACATCATACTGTGCATTGGAAACACGATCTTTGAGGAAACATTGGCTACAAGCGCGGCCATTTAGAATGTCGGGATGGGATTAGATCTGTCCTTCAGACGAGCTCTTCAGGACGGACACCTAGCTGTGCTCTGCTAAGATGCCCTCTCTTCCCTGCTTCCTAGGTCAATGTACATATTTGGAGGATTCTCTAGCGTGCTCCTTAGTGACATCCTTGTGTACAAGCCTCCGAACTGCAGAGCCTTCCGAGATGAAGAGCGCTGTAGAAATGCCGGCCCAGGGATAAAATGTGTGTGGAACAAGAACCACTGTGAATCTTGGGAGACTGGGAATGTGAACAATATTCTCAGAGCTAAGTGCCCCCCTAAGACAGGTGAGGCGCTTCCCTGCCTTTCTGGTTTAAAAGCTTTTCCATGTATTTAAAAGTAGAATTGATTTTTCTTTTGCTTATATGAGGTTCCTCATTTTAGAAATTAAAAATATAATCTTCTAATCATAGAGTCTAATACTTGAATAATTGATTTTCTTTGTTAGGTTTAGTTTTTAAATTTGGATGGAAATATTTTATGTGTAACATGAATTATTTTCTAGTCCATGGTTTTTTTTTTTTTTTTCTTTCTTCGAGACAGGGTTTCTCTGTAGCTTTAGAGCCTGTCCTGGAACTAGCTCTTGTAGACCAGGCTGGCCTCGAATTCACAGAGATTCCCCTGTCACTGCCTCCGGAGTGCTGGGATTAAAGGCATGCACCACCATAGCCCGGTTCTGTAGTACATATTAAATTAGTCTTAAATATGTAATCTCTCAGAAATGTTTATTTTAAAGAAATTAAAAGAGATATGTTTTTGTTTTGAATTTCTGCAAAGCCATATTATACAATTAATTTTTTCTTTTTTGAGATATTGTAATGAATTCATAAATAAAAATATCACAACAAGATTAACTATACATGCCATGAGGTTGTGATGCTATGAATCTTTTCTTAGACTTTTAATTTTGTATTATGATTGTTGAATAAATAACTAGAGTTATGAAAATGAGCAGGCAGTATTTTTATTTATGATTTGTATGACATATTGCTGTTGATAGGGCTTTAATATATTTTGGTGTGGCAAGTACTAAACATTTTCAGATTTTGCTGCTCTGTCACATTGGGTCTCTAGGTTTCTTTACAGTCATACAATCAAAGTATTTGTTACTGTATTTCATTTGGATGTATACTATTGGTAAGTTCCTTTTCTCTTTCGAAGCAAGTAAAGTTAAAATGTGTCCTGTAAATATAGACTACAGTTGGCTTAATTCTGGAGACTTTGTTCTGCTTCTGTTTTTCTATTTTCTATTTCTAGTGATCCCTGAGTGGATGCTGTGAGTGGGCATTAAGAATCCTGACATTTTCTGTTTAGGGTGACATGTTCTACCTCCCCTTTATGTTTCAGCTGCTCCTGATGACAGATGTCACCGATATGCAGACTGTGCCAGCTGCACCGCCAACACTAACGGGTGCCAGTGGTGTGATGATAAGAAATGCATTTCAGCAAGCAGTAACTGCAGCATGGTCAGTGTCTGCAGGCGGGCAACGGCGCCAGCTCACTCTCGCCATGCACAAAGGGGCAGCTTCTGTATTAAGATAGAAAATGTGTGGTGTAGTCAGATTATCCTTTGGGCCGACAGCTCACAGATAATGACATGCAGACTTATTAATGTTATGAATTAATGAGTGTTCGGTCTCAGCTTAGGCTTGTTCCACTAATTCTTATAACTTACATTAATCCATATTTTTATTAATTTACATTTTACCACGTGGCTTTTACCTCTCTTCATTCTGTGTGTCCAACTTGTTAAGCATCTCCATGGTGTCTCCACTGTAGCTCCTTCTTCCCAGAGTTCTCTCTGTTCACTGAAATCCCACCTACACCTCCTGTGTAGACATTGGTTGTTTAGTTTTTATTAAACCAATCCCAGTGATACATTTTCATACACTGGAGAAATAACCCACGCAGTGGGGATCTGGCTGTGCATGGTGGCATTTGCCATTAACTCCAGTACCCAGGCAGAAGCAGGTAGACATCTGTGAGTTCAGGTACAGCTGGTCTACATAGTGAGTTCCAGGACAGCCAGGACTACATAGTGTGCCTCTGTCTTAACACCCCCCTCATTAAACAAAAAAGGAAGTATGTAAGTAATCACTCATATCTTGGCACAGAGTAGTTAGCCTTTATATAGCTTTTTGGTCAGAAGTATTGGCCTGTGTTCTGTTTTATAGCTTGTAATTTTTAATGTGTGTATATCATGAATGAGACTGAAAGTTTTCCAGTACTTATAGTGTATACTTTCTATCTTTAATGCTGTCTTTATGTTCTTTACTGTCCTGATGGAGCCACAGTTATGTAGATAGATAGTAATGACATAGATTTCCTACATGGTATTCCTGTCAGACACATCAGCTGTGTGGGGTTGGTCTTTTGCTTGCACATGTTATCTTTAAATTATACCACAATATTGATAGCCCTAGTTGTTTTTTTTTATTTAAATTTATTTATTTATTAAGGATTTCTGCCTTGTCCCCACAACCGCTTCCCATTTCCCTCCCCCTCCCCCGATCAAGTCCCCCTCCCTCATCTGCTCGAAGAGCAATCAGGGTTCCCTGACCTGTGGGAAGCCCAAGGACTACCCACCTCTATCCAGGTCTCGTAAGGTGAGCATCCAAACTGCCTAGGCTCCCACAAAGCCAGTACGTGCAGTAGGATCAAAAACCCACTGCAATTGTTCTTGAATTCTCAGTATTCCTCATTGTCCGCTATGTTCAGCTAGTCCGGGATTCCTTGTTCTCTACTGAAGGCAGTTTTGTTTCTTAGCTAACCTTTAGCACCAATTTTGATTATCACAACTTTGGGACTACTGTTCACATTTAGAATGCAGAGGCTCAATACTCCAAAGATGTGCACAGAATAGCCTTCCCACACCTCCAGTGCACAGAACAACAGCCTTCCCACACCTCCAGTGCACAGAACAACAGCCTTCCCACACCTCCAGTGCACAGAACAACCTTCCCACACCTCCAGTGCACAGAACAACAGCCTTCCCACACCTCCAGTGCACAGAACAACAGCCTTCCCACACCTCCAGTGCACAGAACAACAGCCTTCCCACACCTCCAGTGCATATAACAACAGCCTTCCCACACCTCCAGTGCACAGAACAACAGCCTTCCCACACCTCCAGTGCACAGAACAACAGCCTTCCCACACCTCCAGTGCACAGAACAACAGCCTTCCCACACCTCCAGTGCATATAACAACAGCCTTCCCACACCTCCAGTGCACAGAACAACAGCCTTCCCACACCTCCAGTGCATATAACAACAGCCTTCCCACACCTCCAGTGCACAGAACAACAGCCTTCCTACAGCAATAATTTTCTGACTTAAAGTATAAATATTATTGGACTCCTATTTTAGGTGAAACAATACTGTTGAAAAATTCTAAAATTAGCACTTACAATTTGAAATGTAGTGAAAATTTGTCCTATATCATGTTGTTTTAAACAAACTCTCAGCTGTTCGAGATGCTGGGGTGAAAGCCTGCTGGCTCATGGAGGCAGAGAGCACCAACTGCCCTTCCTCCTCTGCTGACATCCCCTAGACCACCTGCGCTTTCTCCAACTGAGTGTTCTTCCCTCCCACTTCCAGTGTCTCTCCATCTCTCCTCCTGACTCCCTCTAACTCTCTGTGGCTTTTTCTTAATCCTACCTTCACTTCACTTCCTGTCAACTGGTTGCTTGCTCTGCTCCTTGGCCTATGATTGACTTTGTTTAATCCTGTTTACTATATTTAAGCAGAAAGCTCTTAGATTAAAGATGCATGCTACGGCTGAGCCACACCACAACTAGAAACAGGTTTTTCCATTAAAATAATGCAATCTTGAGGTTTAGAGTGTGATCAAATATTTTGCAACAATATCATATTAAAATTTTTTCTAATAACCAATGATACTTCAGCATATTAAAGTTCTAGGAGTCAATTATAAGATCGTAAAACAGGAAAATTTAGTTTTTAGCTTAGTACATTGTACCCTTTTGCTTTTGTACATATTTATTAGTTATATAATTTTCAGTCATGCAAATTGATTTAATAGCAAGATGTACTAAAGGTTTGAGTTTTAAAATTTTGCATGACATGTTTATTTTTGAAGTTTTAGTTATATTTTTAGACACATACTCACATAAGTGGATTATATTAGTGGAAATAAAGATTAAGTAAAATATGACACAGTCTTAAAGGCCTAGTGTTATGGTCAGGGTTCTTCAGAGGGACAACTGTAGGGTCACACTCAGGATTGTAGGGAATTGTTTCTTACTCTAAGGTGCCCTCCTGTGTGTGAAGGCTCCATCACTGGGACTCAGTCACATCCACAATGTCCTTGCTTCTATTGTCACACTGGGGACTTGGATGTCAATTTGTGAATTTAGGGGTACAAACATTCAGTCCTTACTGTCTTCGACCATTTTCTCCAGCAGGCCACACCTCCTAATTTTTGTCACCCTCAGTGGGTCTCTAGGGGCCATTTTCTTTCAAACCAGCACAAAGCCTTTTAAATTTTTTGTGTGTATGTATATATTTAGATAACTATACTGGGGCTGGAGAGATGGATTGATGGTTAAGAACACTGTCTGTTCTTCCAGAGGACCCAGGTTTAACTCCCAGCACCCACGTGGCAGCTCACAACTGTCTATAATCCCAGTTTCAGGGGATCCGACATCCTCAAACAGAAAATTGTGCACGTAAAATAAAAATAAATAAATAAAAATGAATAATAATAAAAAAGGAATAGATAACTATACTTGCATCTGAGAAATTACATTATGTAAATTACTCATGAGCATTTGTCTTATATTGCATCCCTTTGCTTGATTTTATTTCTGACGATGTGTTCGCCAGGGATGACTTGGATGACATAGTATGAGCGAGCAGATGGTGCTCTCCCATAATTTAGAGTTCTGCTGTAATGCATCTTTCAGGCTTTCATCAGAGTGTCTGGTGATCAAGCCAAACCGAATGCTAATGGCCACCTAGAGTTCTAGGGGCTTTAGTCAAATTATGAGCAGTGATGTCCTATTTCATTATTTAGCCATATATTGCAAGTTGCATATTTGGGCACTAATGGATCAGAAATCTGTGTGCTTTTCATGGATTTACATTTTGCATTTATGACTAAATAGATCAAGGATGGGAACAGTAACGGTTCCTCTCCATTGCCTGATGTCATTAGGTAAGCAGTGTGAGTTGTGATCGAGACAGCGCTCAGCTTTATTCTCTGACTGATTTCCTTGGTGCTGTATGTGACTCAGACAGAACCTCATCTTCCCTTGTTATTCCCGTCAATGAATGTCTGTTAGTGAGGAGCACGGAGTCACCAAGTGTGGGCTCTAACACGCGTGTTAGTGATGAGCACGGAGTCACCAAGTGTGGGCTCTAACACGTGCGTTAGTGAGGAGCACGGAGTCACCAAGTGTGGGCTCTAACACGCGTGTTAGTGAGGAGCACGGAGTCACCAAGTGTGGGCTCTAACACGCGTGTTAGTGAGGAGCACAGAGTCACCAAGTGTGGGCTCTAACACGCGTGTTAGTGAGGAGCAGTGCAGTCACCAAGTGTGGGCTCTAACGCGTGTTAGTGAGGAGCACGGAGTCACCAAGTGTGGGCTCTAACACGCGTGTTAGTGAGGAGCAGTGCAGTCACCAAGTGTGGGCTCTAACACGTGTGGGCTCTAACACATGTGTTAGCGAGGAGCACGGAGTCACCAAGTGTGGGCTCTAACACGCGTGTTAGTGAGGAGCATGGAGTCACCAAGTGTGGGCTCTAACACGCGTGTTAGTGAGGAGCAGTGCAGTCACCAAGTGTGGGCTCTAACGTGTGTTAGTGAGGAGCACGGAGTCACCAAGTGTGGGCTCTAACACGCGTGTTAGTGAGGAGCACGGAGTCACCAAGTGTGGGCTCTAACACGCGTGTTAGTGAGGAGCACGGAGTCACCAAGTGTGGGCTCTAACACGTGTGTTAGTGAGGAGCAGTGCAGTCACCAAGTGTGGGCTCTAACATAGCTGGGGCTCTGAGAGTTCTAAGTTGCTGCTGTTGTCTGTGTTTTCTTACTCCCAACTCCTTCATTGTTGTTTTCATAGATTTTTATTTAATAATTCAAGTAAATTATTTTGTTTAGCAAGTGCGTTAAATTCTTTTAATGATCATATAGAATAATGCTAGAATTTATGTGATATATGAAAACAAAATACTCTGAATAAATAATAAAAGTTGACATTAAGTGAGTTTACTTGTTCCTAAAGGAGACGTGGGGGTTGAGTAACTCACAGATGAAATGACAAAAATGTGTCTGAATTTCTTTCTTAAGGACAAGCAAGTTAAACATTATGTGTATATTATACCTCTTATCATGTAGTAAATATAATATTCGCTAGAGAAATTAATATTTGACTCAGGAGATGGCTCAGTGGGGAAAGCACTTGGTGTGTGAGTACTGGGACCTGCATTGAGTCCCGTAAAGTCAAGCAAAGCCAGGCAAGATAGCGTGCAATGCTAACCCCAGTGCCGCACAGACGGGAGGTGACAGGCAGGATAGCGTGCAACGCTAAACCCCAGTGCTGCACAGACGGGAGGTGACAGGCAGGATAGCGTGCAATGCTAACCCCAGTGCTGCACAGACGGGAGGTGAGACCGGAGACTTCCAGCTTGTCTGTGTGCACAGCAGAACAACAGCGACACTCTGCCCTGCACATGGTGGACAGCAAGGCCGGCACGTGGGTTGTTCTCTGACCACAACACACACCACTGCTTGTACATCAGAGCTCACACACACACATGCACAACAAAGACATTAACACTTCAGTCTTGGAGGTGACTGTAGTGTGTTTCAAATATTTATTTTGTGCTGACTGGTTTTGTGTTGCTGGTATCAGTGAGGAAATGTCCCCACCACATAGCCTGTGAGAAAGCCTGCGGTGTGTTTCCACGATTGGTGGTTGATGTGGGAAAGTCCCGCTCACTGTGAGTGTTCCCACTCTTGGGATGGTCATTCTGGGTGCTATAAGAAAGCAGGCTGAGCAAGCTTTGAGGAACAAGCCAGTAAGCACTCTTCCTTAGTTCCCTGACTGACTTCTTTTGATGATGGACCATGGTGGGGACATGCAAGGCCAAATAATCCTTTTCCTTCCCAGGTTGCTCTTGGCCACGGTGTTTGATCCAAGGAGTAAAAACCTTAACTAAAACGCATGCCTGTGTGTGTGCATGTGCATATGTGTGTGTTGGTCAGAGGGCAGTGTGCAGAATCTGTTCTTTCCTTCCTCTCTGTGTTCTGAGCATTGAACACAGACCGTCAGGCTTTGCAGCAAGCCCCTGTGCTCACTGAACCATCTCACATGCCGTAGTGCATTCTATAAAGGAAGTACAATATTTTACCAGTAAATATTTGGTGCGTGGTATTAAACTACCTAAAATATTTTTACGGTTGTTAATATGAGATAGTTGTATCTTAATTTTAACTTTTAGCATTAGTGACTGAAAACTAGTATTTACCTGTCATATAGAAGAAAGTTTGATGTAAGCAATTCTCTTTCTAGACACTAAGAAGATTGGGTGTGTTGCTCAAAATATGTAATTAAGTCCATTCCAGTATTTTCCTGATATATGCATTTGGTCACTGAATGTCTCATGCTCCCAGTTTTAAAGTTTGTATTCATGAGTAGTTTTTAATCAAGACAGTTGTTTTTTTCTGTTATGAAGTAGCCAGTCATGGGTGTTATTTCTCAATATTGATCCCCAGCCTTTAACTTCTCATTGCTAAAATTAGTAGAAATATGGTTTTATGATGTAGTAAGATTGAAAAAAAGTAACATTGCAGTTTCTTTGTAGTCCCTATGAAGAAAGTATAGCACTCACAATGAGACATTAAGGAGTTACACCCATTATTAGTTTAAATTCTTATAATAATTTCTCTTTTCGTATTGTAAAAGATCTGAAACTGTTTTGCTAGTTATTCAGCTTCATTCTTGTGATGGTTTCATTAGGAATAGAATAATTTCATGCTGTTAGTAGACTGTGAATCCACACACTTAGAGATTTGTTTTCACATGCACTAAAAGTTTTCCTTTTCAAATTTCAAATTACTTAATTTCTGCAGTATTCTCCAATTTTTAGAACTTATTAAAATCTAGGAACAGCAGTTTTCTGTCTTAAATGAAAAATAACAGGCAAACAAAATTCAGTATAGTTCATTTAAGCAAAGAACATTTCATGAATTGTATGGCATGCCTCCTGAACCGCTAGGGCTCGGGAACCTCTTCCAATTTTCCCTGAGACCAGACAAAAGACATAGAGGCAAAACAAATAAACAGTAAGAAGCACAGGAAAACCCAAGTGATCTACGCAGAAACAGCTCAGTTTGTTAAGTGGCATTTGCCGTAGATGGACACGGTCTTACCATTGGCATGCTGGGATAGGTAAGGCTTGCTTGCTGTGGTTACCGCAGACTCTCACACACTAAGTTATATTGCGGCTTACCATGTGAAACAGTATAAGCCAAATTTAATTGAACAGTAATGCAATAATTAAGAGAAATTACAATTCAGTAGAATTGGGTTTGGAGATATAAACAGTTTAAAGTTCAACAGGAGCTTAAAATTTTGTGAATGTTAAGAATCCTTGTTTGTTCGGTTGTGAAAAGTAATGTGTTTTGTCTTTCAATTCCCTAGTCTGTCAGAAACTACACCAAATGCCATGTAAGGAATGAACAGATTTGCAACAAACTCACAAGCTGTAAAAGCTGTTCACTGAACTTGAACTGCCATTGGGATCAGCGGCAGCAAGAATGTCAGGCTTGGCCAGGTAAATATTTCATGATTTGATTAATGAAGTTTTTACTCTGTAGACGATATTAATATCATCATCTGTGGGTATAGCAAAAAGTCGTCAGGAGTTAGTTTAATAACTGTCCATTAAGCAAAATAATAGTAGTGGATTCTCCCCTAGAGCCTCTGACTTGTCTGGGTATAGGTTCTCGAACCAGTTTGCCAAGTATGGCTTTTTTCTTGCGGAGTGGGACATAGATCCAACGTGATTGGTCAACCCTGTCTAGTCATGCTCACTATTGTACCAGGGTTCTCTTGTGCTGGGACACTCAGTTTTGTAACTAGAAGAGAGCACAGTTTTGTAGTGATATCTCATTTGTATTTTAATAAACAAAGCTTGCCTGGAGATCAGGAAAGTAAAACATCATCACTGGTCAGCCTTCCAGACCAGGCAGTGGTGACACACACCTTTAATCCCAGTGGCCGCACTAGCTTGCCATAGAAACCAGGCAGTGGTGGTGCACACCTTTAATCCCAGAACTAGAGAGGATTATAAAATGGGAGGAGACAGCTCTCAGGCTCAGCTCATTCTGGGATTTCTGGAGTCAGGATCTCCATTTTGGACCAAGGTAGAGGTAAGAGCCAGTGGCTGATTATTTTGCTTTTCTGACCGTCAGGTTGAATTCCAATTTCTGTCTCTGAGTTTTTATTAATTATGCATCAAGTTGGTGCCCAACATGGGTCCCGAACTCATGACTTTGGGATTAAGAGTCCCATGCTCTCCCAATAAATAATAATTAAAAATAAATTGATTTAAATTCATATATTCATTTGAGTATGTTTTAAATGTTTTACGTTGGATTGGTCTTTTGCATATTGAAATTTGTGATTAATTTTGTTAAAACATATTGCACAAACATTTCTAGTCTTGTTAAAGGTATTGTACCTATACAGTTCATTTTAACAATGTAATGCAAATTTCTAGTCCTTGAAAATTATTATTACTGTTTAGTATAATAAGGAAATATAGGTTAGTAGTTAATCACCTAGTATAATCGAACTTATAGTCACATTAGGTATGTTTTCAAGGTCAAACAAAGCATATTTTAGATAGACAGGTCATCTTCAAACACTTCAGAGATCTACAGAATATGGCATTTAAGATGTTTTAATAACCTAGGTTCTTTTTCTTTTCTATGACAATGAGACATGTCTGCTCCTGGCAGCACCAATCTACTTCAGAGAAGATAATGGGCATCGAAGAAACTCCACATGGAGTTTACTTTCTTTGTGGCAAAAGTAAGCCACTGGGCAAGAAAATGTCCTTGCCTCGACTGCTGACAGTATGCTGTCCTAATTAGACAAGTAGGACACAAAAGAGAGTGACTGTCAAACAGTGTCAAGACAAGGAAAGACAGCCCTTCAGGATATCCTGCTCCATAGAAAACTCTGTCGGATATGCTAGGCCTGTAGGCCGAAGATGGATGCCCCAGCGTTGCAGAGGAACTTTGGGTGACTGTCCAGGCAGCCAGCTGTTTCTGTCATTACTCACATTTTTTGGAAGTTGCTTGCTTGCACTTCCTGCTTACTCAGTTACTATTATTTCCTTCTTGGGTCTCTGAGGAAGTTGAAGACTAGATAGATATAATTTTCCTTGTTTACCTGATGCAAAAAGCAAGTTATGATAGAGAGTAAATTAGGTACAAAACTTTGGACTCACCAAGGTAGTATAAATGTGGAGTATTTTCTCTGAATTTGTCAAATGAAAATGGACTAGACATTGTTGATGTATTTGTTGCCTGTATATATTGTATATAGTTATTGTACTTATTGTATATAGTTTTCTTATATTAATTATAGCCTATTTTATTTTAAATATTTTTATTTATTATGTACACAATATTCTGTCTGCATGTATGCCTGTAGGCCAGAAGAGGGCACCAGACCTCATTACAGATGGTTGTGAGCTGCCATGTGGTTGCTGGGAATTGAACTAAGGACCTTTGGAAGAGCAGGCAATGCTCTTAACCACTGAGCCATCTCTCTAGCCCAGCCTCTTTTATTTTAAACGTAAAGGGGAAACGTAGTGGCTTTTCATTTGTATTTTAATAAATAAAACTTTCCTGAGGATCAGAAAAGTAAAACAGCCACACTGGCCAACCTTACAGACAAGGCAGCAATGTCACACACCTTTAATCCCAGTAGCCATACTAGTTTGCTGTAGAAACCAGGAGGTAGTGGTGCACACCCTTAAATTTAAGAACTAGAGAGGATTATAAAATGGGAGTAGACAGCTCTCAGGTTCAGTTTTATTCTGAGATTCCTGGAGACAGGATCACCATTTTGGACTGAGGTTTGAGGTAAGAGCCAGTGGCTGGCTGTTTGCTTTTCTGACCTTTAGGTCGAAACCCAATTTCTGTCTCTGAGTTTTTATTAATCATGCATTGTAGTTGGGTATGGTTGATGGTTACTTTTTTCCTCTGGTAGTGCACATAGCTCATTCTGGAGCTAGACTAATGAAAGCTAGCTAGTAGACATGAGTTAGTTTTTCATGGCTTATATGGCTCAAGTATGTGGTGTCTTCAACAGTAGGGTCTTCCTATCAAGTTCTGGAGCATAATGAAGAGCAATGACAAGACCTATATTGTTTGGGGGTCAGTGGAACTGCACTGGCCAACAACTCCAAAAGAAGTAATGTTGCAAGGAGACCGCTTGTTCATCCTGGCCACCCGGCTAGTTTAACCCTGAAATAATCACACAGAAACTGTATTAATTAAAACACTGCTGGCCCATTAGCTCTAACTTCTTATTGGCTAACTCTTACATATTAATTTAACACATTTCTACTAATTTGTATGTTGCCACGTGGCAGTGGCTTACTGGGTAAAATTTCCAGCATCAGTCTCCTGTGGATCCATGGGATCTCCCCTTCTCTGCCTTCTTCCTCCCAGAATTCTGTTTAATTTTTCCTGCCTACCCAAGTTCTGTCCTTTCAACAGGCCCAAAGCAGTTTCTTTATTGACCAATGAAAGCAACACAAAGACAGAAGGACCTCCTATACCAAAGTAACCATTTCTTACACTGGGCTTTTTATTTCTTAGTTCCTGGTCTGTAGTAAGGACATTGTTACCCTGTCATGGGATAATACTTTTGTACCCTGTAAAGATTTGTCACTTGTATTAGTTTAATAAAATGCTGATTGGCCAGTAGCCAGGCAAGAAGTATAGGTGGGGCGACAAGACTAGGAAAATTCTGGGAAGAGGAAAGACTCAGTTAATAGTTGCCAGCTAGACACAGAGGAAACAAGATGAGACCACCTCACTGAGAAAAGGTACAAAGCCATGTGGCTAAACAGAGACAAGAATTATGGGTTAATTTAAGATGTAAGAGCTAATTAATAATAAGCCTGAGCTAATAGGCCAAACAGTTTATAATTAATATAAGTCTCTCTGTGTTTACTTGTGATTGAATGGTTGCAGGACCAATTGGGACAGAAACTCTGTGCTATATTACCCCACTTAAGGGTAACTTTGTTTATCTCTCTCTCTCTCTCTCTCTCTCTCTCTCTCTGTGTGTGTGTGGTGTGTCTGTATATAAACACCTATGGTAGTAGATTTCCATAGGACTTTTAAAAAAAGGGTTTTTAGTGTTACTTATTCATCTCCAAACTCCCTCCTCTAATCTACCCTTCACCTTTTACCTCAATAAAACCCTTCCTCCTCCATTTTTATCTGTATTTCAGTGAGCACTGTCTCTCTCCAGTGAAAGCCTCTCCTCAAGATTCCTTACTGACCTCTATGGGACTATCAAAAGAAACACACATGTCTAAAGACTTAAAACTAAGATCCACAAATAAGATTTGTCTTTCTGGAACTGGTTATGTCATTGAAAATGATTGTTTCCGGCTCCATCCTTTTACTTGTGACTTTCATTTTTCCTAATACCCAAATAATATGCCATATTGTAAATGTACCACATTTTCATTACCTGCCCATCAGCTGGTGAACTTCTAGGCTCTCTCTGTTTACTGGATTTTGTGAGTAGAGCAGCAATGAGCATGGAAGAGTAGGCATTTCTCAAGCAGGATGTAGGGATCTTTGAGTGCTTTCCCGAGACTGGTGGAGCTGGGTCATTTGGTAGTTCCCTTTAGCTTTTTGAAAAGCTGCTGCACTGAATTCCTCAGTGACTACATCAGTGTCCCTTTCCCTCATATATACCATATACCAACGTTTGTCGTCTTTTCATTTTTTAAAAAATATTTTTCCCCTTTTAACTATAGCCATTCTGACTGTGATAAGAGGAGATCTCAAAGTAGTTTGAATTTTTATTTTCTCTGATGGCTAAGGATGTTGAACATTTAAAAAAACTGTTTCTCAATTGTTTACTTCTTACCTTTCCAGAATTTTGTTTAGTTGAATGTCCTGGTTTGTAGTTGGGTTGTTTGTTCTTTTGGTGTTTAATTTGTTGTTTATGTATTCCAGATACTAATATTTTGTTAGAAGTATGGCTAGAAGATTAATTTCTCCTTGGTGGTCTGTCTTGTCACTTGAGTGATGGTGTCCTTTGCTGTACAGAACATTTTTAGTTTTATAAAGTCCATTTGTTAATTGTTGGTTTTAATGTCTACACTATTATGTTTCCCTGGTTTTTCAGCCTGTCATTGGCATATAGGAAGGCTGCTGATAATTGTACATTGGTTTTTATACCTTGTTGCTTTGCTTGACCTGTTTCTCGACTTGTAAGGGGTTTTGAAGAGTGTTTTTAGGGTCTTACGCATAAAATTGCATCGTCAGGGATACTTCAACTTCTTCCCAAATCTGCACTCTTGGTTTTCTTCACGGCATTAAACACATGTGGAGAACTGTCTTGACCCTGATTTTAAGTGGAAATGCTTTGAGCTTTCCTGTTTGGTTGTTGTTGGCTGTAGGTTTGCTGCATGTAGCCTTTAGTATGTTGTTGGCTGTATGTTTTCTGCATGTAGCCTTTAGTATGTTGTTGGCTGTATGTTTTCTGCATGTAGCCTTTAGTATGTTGTTG